AGGTGTAAGTTGAAGACTCTTTTTATAGTAATTATGCAAAATGTAGAGGTGATTTTACGTGGCCACAGGCAGTGGCGTTAAAGCACAAGATCCGGTTTCAGAAAAAGGAGTTGGGATTCAAAATGAAAAAACACTTTCTTCAATCCTTCTCTTTTTTACATTGTAAAAAAAAGTTTTGGTTTTGCTCTAGTGCGCTACAACCCTGAAAGGATAAATAATGCTGATGATATACGAAACTTGGCAAGTCTAGAACTGATGGTTTCTAAACAATGAGAAGGCTAAGGTCCTCTAATGAAAAAGTCAATGGAAAAAACATGGCTGTGATGATCTTCTTAGTTGGTTGAGGTACACACTGCCTTTCTTCGTATCATTTACAGAAAGAAAAAAGCTTTTTATGAGGACACAGAATTTTGTTTATACATCTTCTTATAAACCCAGGTATCTTTGCAGAGATATATTTTAATACATAATGACAACAGATTAGACAAGAAGGTCCAAGTGACTCTAAGATAATTTTTTAGCCTTGGTGTAGAGAGCATCTACGACTGTACCCATCTGGTGTACAAGATCCAATGTGTGTTCATAAGTCTTGTCTGGTGTAGCATCATCAAATACTACTAATACTCCAGAACCTTGATCTAGGATACCTAGAAATAATCACATCCAACATGTTAGGGAAACACACATGCGACGGCCTAAACTATCGATGTTTCTTAGTCTGTCTTCAAGTTCTTGTGCAATAGATTATTTTAGTTTGGGCATAATGTTTTCTCATTTCAAACCATGTCTTTATGTACACAGCATTTCTTTTAACAGCTACACATGAGAATACCTATGAATATGGATACAACTCAAACAAAAAATCAAAATAGAAAAAAAAGACACTTGTTCAGGACAGGGGTGCTTAAGTCTCCCCCCTCCTTATTATTTTGCCATCAAATTTTGAATATTGTTTGCTAATTAAAATATCAAAAGCCAATGCAATAAATATGTTGTAAATTACCCCCAAAACACTAGAAACGYGCACTTCCTAGGGTCTGAGTTAAAATTTTTTGTGGGTATCCACCTTCTGCAGTCGTTAGCCCCTAAAATTAATTATGCTCAAAATTCCGCTCTGCAGACCCTGTTATTTATTAAATAAGTGAGAGGAGCGGGATACCATGTATCATACCATGTAGTTTCTTGTCTAGGATCATCTGTGAAAGCTTTTTTTCAACAACATCCTGAGAAAAAAAGACACAAAACGTTTAATGACATTGCACTGTTAAAAGAGAAGTACTGTGTGGTGKTTCTTTCTGCTTATAACATATAGTCACAATATTCCTTCCTACGTACAACACACAAAACCAGGTTATGAATAGTTTCAGGCAGGAACAAGCAGAGTTTTATGTTGGATGAGTTGGGTGAGGTCCTCTCTGTGGTCCCCGCATGATCATTTACAGAAAAATCCCTTGTTTCACGACCCTTTGCTTTTTAAAACTTTTGTTAGAACTAGGTTTTGGCCCTGCCAATCAAGTAAGGCCTTGGTGGGGGTTCCATAATCCATAATTCCATAATCCTGGGTAAATTAGTATATGTAATAGGACTCCATGCTGTCCAATTAAGAAATAATTATCCCTACCCCTAATAATTAATATCCTCAAACCCTAACAGGGCCATGTGAGGGGGAGGGAATTACACATTAAAAAATATGATGATTTGAGAACAAAAAGTCACATGATACTAGGAACAGTACTAGGAACTTGACAATATAATGTCAAACAAACACATGTACATGTACACATATGTATCATAGTCATTTACCTGAGGTAGGTTTATCAGCTTTGCAACATGCTCAATCTAAAAATGAAAGAATGTAAATTGTTATTGCCTTTAATGGGGACATACTCTTTACTACAGGTATCTATGACAACAACTGTGGTAAGGGTTTTACGCACCTCTACTCTTGAGAATGGCTCAATAATCCTTAGTAAATTTTGAGTGAGCAGGTTATCATAAAGTGCATCAAGATGAGTCTGAAAACAAAATAAGCAGCATTTTAATTATCAATGGATAAGGAACAAACGTACCAGGGTTTACTCTGTACTTTCTTCCCCCGGCCCTTCCCCCACCACCTGCGAAAGGAATCCCCCTTTCTTCCACTCCTCCCAAAAGGAAGAAATATCTGTTCTACTTTTGCTTGTCAGCTTTTGGATACATGGACTTTATCACAGGACAACCATGTTAATTTTCATGAGAAACAAAACTTTTGTTAGACCTGTATCAATATATTTTCAAGGACTTGAATTATAAGAGGCTACGCATGGTGAAATATATTGTTCAAGCATGGTTGCTGCACAAAAAAAGTCCATCCCATTTGGTTTGAGGAAAATGGGAAGGGGTGAACCACATGGTGATAACATATTGTACTGGGTTACCTGTGTCACAATACAAAAAAAAATTACCTTTAATCCCAATGGGAAACTTGGATCAACTCAAACTTTCTGAATTCACTCATAACATCACCCCACATTGCCTTATACTAAGCAATTATTTGACAGAATAAGCTCTCTGTTGAATACAGTAATAGCTTCCTGGTAAAATTAATAAGTGCAAATTATTTTAAAAGAATTATTAATGTTGCACCTACTTGTATAATAGGATCATCTGTCAACTCTTTCTTGTATGTAGTCAACGCCTGG